GAACAGCCCTCCCTCATACTCGAGATTTCAGCATTTCATGTTGAGCCATGCAGGACGAAGCACCGAGTCTGCCATTTCAACTCGGACCGTATACGATGGTGGCGAGAGCAAGGTAGGAGTTTTCTTTCCCGCACGCCTGCAGTACTGATGTGTGCTCAGGACGGCCTATCAATGATATGCATAATTTTGAGAAACATTGACGCCGAAACCAATAATTACGACCTATTAGTCTACTGCTACCTGAAGGTATGATGCTGGCCATCTCCATCAATCAAGGATATTTTTATTAGGTCCCTGAGAGCTTACACAATGAACAGATTGCTAGCCGCATGTGGCACCGACCTTTTGGGGTAATGATTGATGCAACATGCTATAGCGGGCAAAACGAGCCTCAAGATGCGTTATTCAAGAAACTAGATCTGCTTACACCCACAGAACTATCGAAGAACTTGACATGTGTTTATGTGTATAATATGAACAGTACGTTCAGGTAAGAGCCATATATCGTCAATCCTTTTATGGCCGCGTGACGCTAATTCGTCAGGAAATGTTTCCGCCGCATATTGCGCTTGTCTGCAAAGAATGAGAATAGTGCATTCCACCCTAAAAGCGTGGACTACCACCTTATTGGCAGTCTGCAAGATCTTCAAACACACTTTCATCTCGGTCAACTCCACTTACCAAAGGAAACCATCAGCGTAATCACCGACACAAGATTTGTCTTCCAACCCGTAACGAGGCTTTCAAAGACAAAAGGCAAAATCGAGGTTATGATACAAGTGGGTAGCCAGTTCGTGCAAGTAACGACGACCAAGAAACAAGAGATTGTTCCTGGCCTTAGGCTTCATGCCACCGTGAACGACATATTTCGTCTAACAGAGGTCGATGAGGCCCCGACATCAATACAAACTGAAGATGACTCTGCCTTTGGGCTTCGCGCAGACAGCGGCAAGATCGTCATGTATTTTACAAGCCCGAGGAAGTCAGATGTTCTCCAAGCTATTCGTGGTGCCAAAATCAAATACTCCAAGGATTTAAAGCCCAGCCAGCCATTTGAGCGACTTATCCGGCCACAGGATATTCCAGGGACTCTCCTTAACATCTCATTCACAAACTTGGCAAGTCTCGATCAGAATCTTCGCATAGCAGCATACAACCTTCTCTGTGCGCTCTGTCAAACCTTCAAATTTGGCGTGAACTCGAGTTTCATGGCCTCCAAAGGTAAGACGGCCTTATAATTTCCACATTCCACATGTGCTTCTATCTAACATTTCCAGAATTATCCATACCGCCAAGTGCATCCCATTTCATTGTCAACGTGAGCAGACAACTTGCCGCTTCTGAGCCTCAACTTACAGCAGACTTTATGAATGAGTTTTTTGTTGGCTGGGAGAGTTTCCCCTTACAACAGAGGCCATTGAGTTTGGCATATCTATCACCTTGGTTGTCGGGTCTGAGAAGCCAGGTTCTAGCAGTTGAAATTGACGGCGAGAAAGCGAGGGAGCGAATAGCTTCGATCTTCAGGAAACTGATAGATGTTACCGTACCCGACTCCACCCTCTGCATAACTCTGGAACAGATAATATGGCCTGTTATTTGCGAGGACGATGTCCTAACTGATATTTTAGTGGATGAAATTATAAAGAGCGCATTAACATCCAGTAACAACGAGAGCCGTATTTCACGCCTCGGCTCGATTATTGCATCCCTCCAGGTTGTGACTGTTAGGGGCAAATTGATCAGCAGGTTACGAAAGGCACTCAATCGGACTTCTCTCCGACCTACGAGGCTATTGCCCGAGAATTCAGTCTGGGACGAGATATGCATACTACTGCGACTCTGCTTAGCAGCCTCGTTTAATAGTGGTGTGCAGGCGCACCTCTATCTTCCCGAGATATCTCATATCATCACCATGCTGGCGAACACTGGCCCGGCACAAATCAGGCTTGTGGTCCATGGTCTTTTGGTAAATACAGTTCACATATTGTGCACTTGCTTTTCGACGGACGAAAGTAAGCTCGTGCGGCTTAAAGTGATTCTAGCGTCACTCTCCGATCCAAACACTGCCCACCAGGCAAATCTCAGCGGAGTAACTCGAGAAGGCACCACGATTTCGCACGCTCAGGATCCGACATGGCAAATATTGAGCTCAACAGAGGCCCTCGCAGTACTTCTTTCGGAAGTAAGCAGCCTTGCAGCGTCATCGGTTGATCTTTCAAACGCCTGGCGTTCACGGTGGATGAGTCTTGTCGCCAGTACAGCATTCCAAAGTAACCCAGTCATACAGCCCAGGGCTTTTGCTGTCATGGGCTGCTTGGCACGTGAAGATGTGGACGACGATCTTCTTTATCAAGTATTAGTTGCTCTCAGGAAGAGCGTAAACCGCTTTGCTGATGAAAACGATAATGAGATGCTCGTCTCTATTGTTACCTCGCTCACAAAGATGATGGAGAAACTCCCCACAACGTCGCGCTATGGGCTACAGCTTTTTTGGTTGGCTATGGCGCTCGTGAGGCTTGTCCCTCTCAATTTATTTTCTTGCGCCGCGTCCTTTTTGGAGGCCGTCCTCATAAACATTAATACATCGGGAGACTTGAAAGGCGGTCGTATGGTACCTGTGCTACTACAGGGACGATTGGCTCTAGAAGATTCAGCTTCACAGCTCGATGAAAGCTATGGGATACATTTCAACATCGACAACTTCCACTTTGCGGTCTGTGCGTCATTGGTTAAAGGCCTCACTGATACTGTGACGAAGGCTACAACTGTCAAAGTCCTCTCTACGTTTCTTGAAATTGCTAGCTCTAGCGCAGTAGGAGGGCGCAAATTTCCGGACGATTTGAGCTGTCTTCCATACCTAGGATTGGTCATGTCCCGAGCCCTTACTACGGAGGAAGCGAAGGGTAACCTTTGGCTTGCGGGGATCAATGGGGACAAGAGCAGCACCCCGGAAGACGTCCTGGCCATGATAAACCTGGATACCATCAAGGATAAGGAACTGCTGTTGAACACGGCTATAAACCTTGTTGACTTTCGCTATCTAGAAGACAGTGTTCAGAATCGGGGATTGGTTTGGATGAACAAGGTTGCTATTATCAGGCCCACTGTGATACTCCATCTGTAAGATCATTTTGCCTCTGCTCTATCCTTCTTTCTCTACTTTATTTGCGCTCGTTTACTAACCCACGGTAGTTCCTGTCCTATCCTCAGCATCCTGGATGAAGTGCTGTTATCAAGCCAGAATTTTGTGACTCTCAAGTCGGCACAGATGCTTTTGCGAACCTTAACTACAAACCCCAAACTGTCCGACACTGTTGACGCTGCCCAGCTCTTGGAAGATGTCCTTGAAGACATCGGCTTCGGCGGGCTATGGGTGTCTTCTACATTTCACAACTCAGCTGAGCGAGACGGGCATTGCACGGTTTTGACTGACAAGCTCATCGAAGTAAGCAATACTTCATACTTCTTTAATGGATCCATGCTAACACTCGTGGCACCAAAGCTCATCATCACATAACACTCAGAACCACTGGACTAGATTTTTTATCCTCTCCGACCAGTTCTAGTGAGGGAAAATACATTTAAAACGATGAATGACAGTTATGAGAACCATGACCACGAAAACTGATCGATAAATATATATCACCGTACTATAACGTAACTCGTGGCGTAACGGGACGGATGGCGTAACGGGACGCTTTGCCAGAGCCACCCGCACCCCACCAAAATCAAGGTCACATGACCAAAATTAAAACGTTAATAACTTTTGTAATAATGCTTATAACGCTTAATCCTCTTAGACTATTACTCTTTATATCATACTCTAACATGTGTAAAAATGCTAGTAGTACTAGTTTTGTTTTACAAAAGATATTAAAGCTTATATTTTACTATATAAAATATTTATATGGTAAAATAACACGCGGCAAGTCCGCATCAGGAAACCGCGTCCGCCCGCATCAGGAATCCCCCCCGCATTAGGCAAGGCGCGTGCACGGACGCACCGCCGCTTTCGCGGGGTATAAAGATTCACCCTCACCACTCTCCTTTTCTTCCCTTCCCTTCACTCTCTCCATTCCCCGACAGCCAACACACACCGCTTCGCTTGCGACGCTCCGTTGCCTGACATGCGCCCAAGGTGGGCGCCTTTCGGCCCTTCTGCTGCTGTCCCACTGCTGCCAGGCTCCCCTCGACGGCAGCACCGCAGCCAGACACCGCATCCGGCTCGAATCCGCGACGATCCTGCCTCCATATCATAACCCATATTCACTCCGACGGCGCTCAGCGCGTTGAATCTGACTCACATAGGCTCGTGATGCGGGCTCAGGAGGGGCTGAGGTTGGAGCGCCCTTGAATCCGCCTCGTTATGCACCGTTGTCCTTCCCCTTCAGGCAGAGCGTGCAGGAGATTGAGGTGCTGCAGGGGCTCGGAGACGCACACGTCACAGCGCACAGCCAGTCGTGAAAATGCCTGACGTTGGCTAGGCTCCTCGAGACGGTCACGCTGCAGTCGGACACCCCATCCGGCTCGAATCCGCAACGATCCTAACTCCATAACTTCGACGCTGTGACTGCGGTCACCGCCTTGCATCTGCGTCACATTGGCTCAGAAACAGCCGAGGCCAGAGCAGTTTTGAGTCTGCGTTGTCATCGCACCATTGTTTCTGCCCCTTTAGGGAGAGAGCGCCGGAGGTTTGAAGTGCGGCGACGCTTCGGGGCACACATGCTGCCGCACGTAGCCAGTCGCGAAAATGCCTCGCGTTGGCTCGGTCTGGGCTGCGCCACCATTGGTGGAGAACTGCGATATACTCGATAGGTCATTTGCGTGGGATCGGAGTTCATGCGGCCACCTCAGTACAGTCGTCGGCAAGGCCGCGGAGCTGAGCAGGCACGGGATGGCAATCTCTCAGAACTGTGATGTTGTAACTGGTCGATTATGCATGGGAACATTCCTGCGCGAGATGCAGAGGTTTTTGCTCTGGTGTAGATTTAGTCGGGAAGATGGCAGGAGGGGCAGGCGATGCGACCGAAAAGCCTACATATGAGCCTTTCGATCCCCTGCCTACAGTTGGTGAAATAATTCAAATCGATTTTGATGCGCTCAACATGGCCACCTTTGCCCCAATACCTTATAAATATGTGCCAACTGCCTCGCGTCCTCGGGGCGCGAACGCTCGCCGCAAACCTACCCCAGAGCAATCCAGTATCCTCAACGACCACTCTCCCGCCAAGCAGAAGGGAGTCGCACTCGACGCTCCATGGCCAGCAGTAGGCGCAGCAACTGATGAAAAAGGCAGCGGCATGCCCGGATATCAAGGTATTTGAGAGACTTAAATGCTAGTTGTAGCAGGCATGACTAACTTTGGGAATTTCAGTTAAGAGTAGCAATGCATATTTCGGTAACAGTGGCGATTATAGCGACGACTACTTCCCCACAATCGAGGAGCTTTTGCACACCAAACTACAGACGGCGGGCTTTGGCCTGGGGGAACCAGGTAAAGAACACATCAGAGGAGCTGTGGAAGAATGTTTGGCGAAGGTCAGGTCCATCGACCAAGACACGTCAGTATCGAGCGTCAGTTCTAGTGGTGACCAAGGTGAGCACCCCTAATATCTTTCGTCGCACATGACAAACTCTGACATGATTCTTGCCATTGTGTGGGCAATCCAATTGAACTGCAAGATGACGAATTTTGTGCCTCTGAGGACGAAATTGACTGGGGAAATGTAAGCGGGGACCAGGAGAATTTTAGTCGCACTGAAACTGTGCTCAATCCGATCCTAACGCCTACTTCCGATCCTAACCAAGAATCCTCGATGTTGGATTCTATGCGCCCCTCGAGCGAGCCATTGCAAAGCCGCATCAACACAGAAGACCCTTTTACGGGTTGTGCTGAGTCTGAGACAACAAAGTCTCTCTCCACGCGTCATTGCGACCAGTCTCCACGCCGGCCTAGATCGTCACAACAAGGCCGAATCAGTCAGGCAGCTTGTGCCTATCGCAGGCAATCTAAGCCTGAATTCGATAATAATACCTCTGAGGAGATGCTTCCGCAGCAGCAAGACGAAGCAGAGAATATCAATAGCAATGGCAATGGACTACAACAGTCAGACGAAAAGACGGCGAGGGTAGCGCCAGTAACTGAAATGGGCGACGAACTCCATCTCCCCGCGAGTGTGATTAGAAGGACCAGCTTAGCCAAGCGCCACAGGATCCTCACCCCCCGCAGTCTATCCCTGGAGCCAAGCCTAGAACAAGCGACAAGCAACAGCGACAACTACAGCGACAACTACAGCGACGACGAGCTCAGTACCACCGAAGCTGAGTCAGACGAGAGCGACCGGAGGCGATGCCCTACTAAGCGGAAGCGGCCATTCTCATCTTACGTTAGCCCAACGCAACGGAAGCGTGGGCAGCATCTTCAGCTTGAATCTACCCAGCAGAGAAGAAATTGCTTCCCGCAGAGGCACCCAGCCTGCAAAGGTGACAGCCAACTACCCTCGCCACCCCATTCTTCTCTGGACCGCGGCGCCCTCAGCGAATCATCCAAACATACCCGGCCACTACTAACTGAGGTCACATTCCGTCCCTATTCTCCGGATTACTATTCCTTTTCGGCGCTCATTCAGGACGATCGTGACGAGCCGGAATTCACTTTCGGCCAATTCTCTAAACTCGTCGAGTGCGTCGGCCATGCCGGGAATACCAAGGACCTCACGATAAAGCAGCTAAAGCAACACTTGTTCTTGGTGACTGGTTTTAGCCGGCGTACGTCTTCCCGCCCTTCTCAAAGTGGGAGGACTGTAAGGTCTACTACAAACGCATGCCTCGTCCCGCTAAGTGCAGGGCGTACCCTGGCAGACAAAGGCCGTAGCGCGAGCACTTTTCCATCACAGCGGCGAGAGGCGTCAAGCCGCATCGTTGACTATAGTTTTGGCGACGGTTCGAGCGAGGATGAACTGGGACGTTCGGACAAGAGAAAGTATAGTCAATGGTTAGCGTCAAGCAGGTCTGATGTCGATGGTTTTGGCGACGGTAATCCTAATACCGGTAGCGATGGTGATGCATATTCGAGCGAGGATAATGTGGGCCGTTCGGACGATAGGAAATACAGTGAATGGTCACCGCTTGACAAGCAGCGCTTATCAGCGTACAAGAAGGAGGGCAAGACTTGGGAGTGGATCTTCAGCAAGTTCCCGGGCAGGACTAAGGGCGCAGTACGCACGCGCTGGAGCACATTGCAGCCGAGGGTAAAATAGGTCACTTAAAGCCCTCACAGCCTCCACATTGTGGTGCGCATCATTATGGTATGCCTCGGGCGTCTATAGATAGTATAGAGTAGATCTAATGTGATGTATGAATATGATGTATGAATATGATCTTGCTCTATGCATACGACTAGTTCACCTTTGACTGTGAAGCAAGTAGTCAAGGTAATAATAACCCACGCCTATCACCACTCACCGTCTCTTGAAGCCTTAACGCTCGCCCTGGTGGATCGTCTCGGCCTCCATATCCTTCTCCAGCATGATCAGACTCCAAAAATACCCCGAAAATGTGTCCAGTCCGACAAAGGTGCTGTAGGAATATATTGGTCGAATGCATTTGGACTTTTGCCCCATCTCGATGTCTTTGCACTGGCCGCCCAGCCACTGATATGTTTAAAGCTGATGCTTACCGCTCTTATCTCCATAGAGAGCACGACTTTGCAGATAGCTCTCGTATACGAGAGCTATACACCGACAAAATAGTTTGTGAAGTGCTGAGATTGGACTACAATTGCCTAGTGCCAGTGTTTTCATTTTTCCGTAAACAGTCAGCAAAGTTGGGAGGAAACGATTCGAGTAGGAACCTATATAAGAAACTTGAAGATAACCGTCACAATAATGCTTGCTACAGCCAACGTGAAACTGCCTAGTCCGAACACCTGATAACCTTTCCCTTGAGCTAGCTTAGCACAAACGACAACAATAACGATTGTCACTAGTAAAACGACCAAGGAAATCGAAACTTTAAAAAATACCGGGACCACCAAGTTTTCTTCAAAAAAGAGACCCCATCCATAAGGCGGCGTGGTAGGATCCGCTTTAAGTCGTTGCTCAAGTCTCTTTGGCGTATTGTTGACGAAAAACCGTCCCTTCTCTGGGCTGTTGGTACGTTGTTGCCTGGCTCGGGCCTGTATGGAAGGCAGCGGAGGTATCTCAACTACCACATCCTGCAATTCGATGTCATCTCGACTATTCGGCACCGAAGCCAAAACGGAAATCCCACGGAATAATCTAAAATTAATCCAGAGCCGTTTAATTTTTCCTTTCCAGTTGAAAGCAGTCCAGAGAAGTTTGACCTTGCTTTTACAGAGCCGTTGCAGTCGCTTACTCGCCAGCCAAGTCGACGAGCTATGTGGTTTGTCCCATAGATGCATTATCCATTTCCCCTGTGGTCGCGGTTGTGGATCCGCCGGACAGGGAGCCCACGCATGCCTCTCGCTCCACTCTGCTGGAGGGCCCCATTCTTCTTGAAGGAGCGCAAGATCAACAAGGTCACTTTGTGCTCTACCTACATCCAAGTCGTCCTCGACATCATAATCGAAGCTAGAGTTGTCCTCTCTAATGAGCAAGAACTTCTGCCAAGTCAGATTCACCTCAACTCAAATAAAGTTTCAACTGAAACATACCCGAACGAATCGTATATCCGTAACTGCTGTCCACGACAAAAAGTAGGTGGCCCACCCTCTAGCTGCAATGTACTCTTTCTTAAAGGATAGGAGGAGCTCATCGTCATACGGATCTTCTCCGACCTCCATATGCACTGCTTTGCTGACGTGGTTGTTGTGATAGAAACACAGAAGCAGCCATTGATCGCTAGGTGACATGATAGATCGTGACTGAGATTCCTCTACCTTGCCTAAGGTCTGCTCATGATCAATCTCTGTCCTTGGATGAATTTCAGAATGTGGGTCCTGAGCTGTCTGTCCTGAAGCACTAGATTGCAGATCTGGTGTTATCGTCGTAGAGCTTACAATGTGTTGATGGGGTTGTAAGGGAGATGGCGTCTTGGGAAGCTCTATATGTTGCTCTTTGTCGTCATTCAATGCATGCAGAGTGACTGGTGCATTCACAACTTCAAGAGACCACACGAGTATCCGCGCTTGATACCCAGCTTGTATCAGCTGGAGTTGAAAATGTTGCTGCAGTAAGTCGAGATGCGGGATAATCCTCTGAAAAGCTACAACCACAAGTCTACGAATTCTTTTAGCATATTAAAATATCGAAGATACAAAAGAATATGAATACATACGCAGTCCCAACTAAGTCGAACGAATCCTCGGTTCAGTGGTCTTTTGTATAGACCGATATCTTCGGCCATGGTTATGCATTGTAGAAGAAAGGATTGATACAAATTGAACAGAAATCTCGTTAACTTAAAAGTCTTCTCACAATGGTAAGGCTCCTTGTGTAGACCTTTGATAGGGGTAATTCGTGACCGAGAAAAAAGGGTCTCCGAGTCATTCCAAGAAATATGGTCTGCTGGATTGTTTCCAGAGACAAGAGTGGTTGTAGGGTCACCCTGGTGGTCATCAACGTTTTGAATCCCTTGGCTATCCTGGCCCTGGTTCTTTTGGCTACCTGGAGATTCTTGTACCTCGGTATGGGTTTGAATGGGACCTAGGATGACTTTCGAGAACACGAAGGTGTGGAGGTTGTTTCTGTAGGAATTGAATGGCTGTCCTGTAGTTAAAATTTGCGCAGCTTTCCGCAGGTGTGCATGAGTGACATCGTGCACAGCGCTGTCGACGCTGATATCGTCTCCATCATCGTCTCCATCTTCAACTCCATCCTCATCGCTACTTGGATCTCTTTCAAAATCATCATTCCTCAGCGGATCTTCCACCATAAGCTCACTATTTGTCTCAGTGGACTGCAGATAGCGATTTATTGAATATTCCATTTCGTCAGTAGAAGGTGCCTTCTCTTCGAGCTCGAAGGTCTCAGGCATGAGAATGCGGTATATGTAGCTTGAAATCTGCGTTCTTGTGGCCCGAAGCCGCAAGAAACTTACCACTAGTTTGTCTTCTGGAGTTGTCTGGGCTTCAGCTTTGAGACACAAATAGTAGGACTTCAGTAAACGCCTATTGTTTCGAATGAACTTTGTCACACCGAGCCTTTTCAAAGCCAGTCGATACAGAGTAAATAGCTCTTGGTCCTCAGAGAAGCGCTTGGCGATGAGCCACGCCGCTGCCACGCGCAGCGGTGATAAGGCTGACTCAGTCTCGACCGTTGATCGGATATCTTCATCATCAGACGCAACACTCGAACTCATATCAATCACTTGCATCTCTAGCTCTTCCGCTTCCTTCCATCGGCCTTGATTTCTATAGGTCGACGCCAGGTTGACAATGCTACTCAACGTGTCCTGATGCTCCGTACCAAGGACCCTCTTTCTCGTCACTATCACTTGCACCTGTAGCTCTTCGGCTTCGTCCCATCGGCTTTGTTCGCAATACATCGATGCTAGGTTGGCCATACTGCTCAGCGTATCTGGGTGCTCTACTCCAAGCATTTTCTCCATTCCTTGAAGAGCTCGCTGGTGCATCGCTTCGGCCTCCTTGTACTTGCCCTGCCCCTCTAACGCCGACCCAAGGTTACTAACGCCATTGAGCGTGTCTGGGTGCTCTACTCCAAGCATTTTTTCCATTCCTTGCAGAGCTCGCCAGTGCATCGCTTCAGCCTCTTCGTACTTGCCCTGCCTTGATAACACTGACCCAAGGTTGCTAACGCTACTGAGCGTGTCTGGGTGCTCTTCTCCAAGAATTTTCTCCATTCCTTGTAGAGCTCGCTGGTGCATTGCTTCTGCCTCTTCGTACTTGCCCTGCCTTGACAGAACCAATCCAAGCTGGCTGACGCTAATGAGCGTGTCTGGGTGTTCTACTCCAAGCACCTTCTCCCTTCCTCCTAGAGCTCGCCGCTCCATTGCTTCCGCCTCTTCGTACTTGCCCTGCCTTGACAGAACCGATCCAAGGTTGCTAACGCCACTAAGCGTGTCTGGGTGTTCGACTCCAAGAACCTTCTCCCTTCCTCCTAGAGCTCGCCGCTCCATCGCTTCCGCCTCTTTGTACTTGCCCTGTCTCTCTAACACTAACCCAAGCTGGCTAACGCCACTGAGCGTGTCTGGGTGCTCTACTCCAAGAACTTTCTCCATTCCTTGTAGAGCTCGCTGGTGCATTGCTTCTGCCTCTTTGTACTTGCCCTGCCTCGACAGAACCAATCCAAGCTGGCTGACGCTAATGAGCGTGTCGGGGTGCTCTACTCCAAGCACCCCCTCCCTCCCAACTACTGCAGTCCGCCCTATCTGCTCCGCTGCTGCATACTCCCCTGTGAGGAGAAGATACCGTACTGTGTTATCTGCAATCCTCACTCGATCTAGTGTTGCCTCTGTCTCTTCTAGAACGTAGCCAAGCACCTTTCGCGCGTGCGGAAGGAGCACTCGACAAGCCGCCCATGTCTCATGCTGCCCGCTTGGAAAAGCAGCAGCCATAATATGTAGCGACGCCTTCTGCCATCTGCCCACCTGCATCTGTACTTCTAGCCACTTCTTCGTCGCAAGCTGCACCAACTCATGCATCTGAAATATATACTCCCCGACCTGCTGCTCTGGCTGCTTCGTACTCTGAGCCTTAATTAGAGAGAAGCTTGTCAATAGCGCCACTGCATCCTCAAACTGCAGCCTACCTCTGCCATCGTACAGAACAGACTCTGGAATCCCCTGTCTCTCAAACATAGCCATGAGCGAAAGTAGCTCTGCAGCTTCGGGGCTTGTCTTCCGGATCTGCTCGAACGTAATCTGCCACGTTGTAATTACCGCGTGCCTGATACTGTGATCGCGCCGAAGGTCTTTTGTCTCGTTATTATTTAATAGAGTAGCCTGGTTAGCCTCGCTCTCCCGGAACAGACTGAGGTACATAGATACGGTAACCCGCGGTCTTGACCGTATGTATGCTGCCGCGTGCGTAATCGCCAGTGGAATTCCTTCAAGTGCCTGAGCCAGCTCCTTTAAGTCGGCTTCTGAACACTTGTCTACCGGAATCTTCGTCTTGAGCAAGTCAACCGAGTCCTTCTCTTTCATTGGCTCTACTAATACAAGCTTTCCAAACGTGTTGACAAGGTCGTTGGCTGCGGTCGAGTTACGTGATGTGATAAGGATTGATCCATTTCACGACTGAGGAAGAAACATCTCCAGTGGCAGTTGGGAGTCCATTGCATGGTCGTATTGTGAGACGCTCCTGACAACATCATAATTCCCAAAAAACACACTTCCGTCATCAACATTGTCTAGTATCATATGCCATTGTCCGTTAGCTTCATCTGACAGCCAATTGTATACCAGTTGTAGCACATTGGCCTTCGGATTGTCTCGCCCTGGAATCTCAAGCCTCTCCGCCATCTCTTTGTATGCTTGTTCGAACCGGGTTTTGGTGCTTGCCTGGATCCAGAACACCGATATTTGCGGTTGGCACTTCCGTGCTCGGTATGCATACTCGATAGCGATTTGAGATTTCCTATGCGCATTTAGCCGCTGTAAAAGATAGGTGTATTAGCAGACTTACCCAACTCCCCCAAGACCTACTAGTGCATGTCTCTGGTGCTTTTTTGGCTCCTCCTGCTCGCCTCCTAAGTCTAGTTGACCTAGAATATCTTCTCGACCAACAAAGTGTTTGTCTTGTGGGAAGGGAACTATGAATTGTTTGGCGAGTGCTAGATGAGTGATGAGCAGCGTAAAACATTACTGATACATGATTACGTACAGTTGTTATTGGCCGAATTCGTTTCCCTTATGAACTGCTTTAGAACTCCACAGATCTGGCGGTAACACACATCGTCTCTGCTGCCACATCTAGCCATTTCCATATGATTCACGTCGATGGTCTCCACCGTTTCTTGTTCCCTAGCGAGATCAAGCTTTGAGGAGAAGTTATCTACTACCTATGCTACCCATTAGTTCTCTAGCTCCATAGCTTACAGTACAGTATTTTAGGACTGCCGTACCTTGCTGTCCAGACCTTTCATGCCAGAAATCCCCTTTGCCTCTTGAAACGAGTGCACTTTGATAGCGCAATTGCTAAGTATAGTCTTGAATTCATCCTGAATATTGTCCAAAACCTCATCATTAACTTCAAGTATCTGTATAAGCTGTTTGTTTGAGTCTTGTAGAGCTAAGCGCGCTAGGTTTGAGGATCTCGCCCCAACTTGCATACATGCTTCCTCGATGTGGTGTCCCAAGAAAGACAATCAGCCTTGTCCGTTTGCAGATTGTCTCCGATCTACGTAGTGCCTATATCAGTGTATCAATAGCTGTAGACCTTCTAGCTGCATGTGCGGGGCCTCACGTCTTTCGTGATGATTCCACCAAGACTATGCGCTACAAACACAATCGGATCCTGTATGGACACTCGTTAGGCTTATTTAAAGAAACACAGAGCAGTCTGGCATACCTCATTGTCAATATCCCTCTCCAACCTAACAGCGAAGTCCCGACCATGCTGTGAAATGCTGTTCTGGTTGTTTGCCTGGAAAAGCCCTCCAATGACATCCGCATTGTACCCGTACGTCCATATTCGAGCCTGGGGAAGGTCCGGCACGAGATACTCTTCTGGCCAGAAGATATCTGACGGTGAAAAACTTCTTGTCTGCGTCTTGTCGTCCGTCTCTTTCTTGTTCTTCTGCAGCCCGAGGTAGGTCTTGATGTTCCTGTGCTTGTCGGTGCGCGGATCGGTGTCTTTGCTTCAACCAGTCGTAGAAGTGGGCCGTAGATGCGACCATGTCTCGCGTGGGTGCCCTTTGAGGCCATGGATGAAGATGACGCTGCTCGCAGTTAGAACGGGCTGTGGTTAAGAGGTGGAGAATGGGCGGGGGCTGTACTTCAGATCGCGCTGGTCCCCACTAGCGTCTTCGCTCTCGGAGAGCAGTGTGACTCCCTCCCGGTGAATCTTCGCCATAGATGCTGGCTCGACAATAAATTAAGATATGTTAAGCATAGGTCGAGTCGTAATGCGATAGGATGGGGGAGTCTTGTCAAGGCTGAGCGCTTAGCGTTTCTGACGCTCTCATCTTTCATCATGGTAATCCTAATCCTATCACGTGGTGGCATGATAATAAGCTGAGTAACAGGTGTGTTGTAGACAAGGCTGAGCGCAAGACACTCTATAGTATCGACCCCCATTGCAAACCCTCAGCCGTACCTGTAGCGATTAAGGGACGGACTCCGGCCCGCACCGCTGACACGATAGCGCCGACTATGGTGGGTTTTGGCGACGGTTGGGAGGGGTGGGAAAGCTGGCTCTGCAGATGCCAGTTGTGGGTTGAGCCGCCAGTTCTGCCTCCCTCGGTACGTACTTCCCTCGGTACCTCCGGTACATGTATCTGCAAAGCCACAACAAGCCACAGGCCTACACCGCAATCTCACAAATAAAGTTAACTTAAAATTCCACGACACCCAATTCGCCTTCTACTGTATATTTCAAGATCGAAAATCAGCTGATTTAAACCCTACTGCGAATGGGTTCTTTAGCTGGACCCATTCGGGACTTGGTGACGGAGACAAAATCTTAGCCTCAGGCAGCCACTAATATGTGACGCATACTGGCTGTTTGTGCGCTGTGTTATTATCTCCTTATCATCACGTGACACAACAACCTAACACTTGACACCTGAGGATAGAACATTCTCTCTAAGGGCCGCTTTGAATAGTGACTGCGTCCATCTTGTTTGGAGCACAATGCAGCCGAAGGTAAAATAGGTCACTTAAAGCCCTCACAGCCTCCACATTGTGGTGCGCATCATTATGGTATGCCTCGGGCGTCTATAGATAGTATAGAGCAGATCTAATGTAATGTATGAATATGATGTATGAATATGATCTTGCTCTATGCATACGACTCACCTTTAACTGTGAAGCAAGTAGTCAAGGTAATAATAACCCGCGCCTATCACCACCCACCGTCTCTTGAATCCTTAACGCTCGCCCTGGTGGATCGTCTCGGCCTCCATATCCTTCTCCAGCACGATCAGACTCCAAAAATACCCCGAAAATGTGTCCAGTAATCTTGCTCTGCCCATTTCGCAATGATCTTGAAGACACTATTAAGCACAAAGAAGTTATGGATGTCTTCGTAACCTCCAATGGATACAGGGCCTAGAATAACCTTGACAACACAAGGCAAGTCAGCTGATGATTTCTCTACTTCATACAGTGTGTGAAAGTGGAAATGACTCACTACAGAACCATCATCTGGGAGTTTATATGCCACGTGTGATTTCCAGTCCAGTCCAATAGCAGTCATGCCAATTAAAGGCACAGTTTCTTCTGTATCAATGTCGCCTTGTTGTAATCTCAGCTCATGCAGCTTCAACAGGCCAGCGCAACACCACACGCCAAGCTGAATAGATGCTTTATTGGCTGTGTGAGCTGGAAGGAAAGTATATAGTGAGCGGATGTCCATCTTAAGCAATTGAACTGCAAATAAGCTTACACTCGTTGATCACACATCTGAGATACTTCATTCTGTTGATATGGGCCCGAGTAAACCCAGTTGATCCTCCAGTGATAGTCTGGATCTCATCTCGGATTCGTGTGAGAGCTTCGGGATGCCTCACAAGAAGGAAGAATTCCCATGACATTAGACATGCCGTCGTATCCCTTCCTGCAATCAGAACATGGACTAATTGATCCCCCACGAGTATCGAATCTTGCAACTCCTTGTATAGGTCGAGGATAAATGCATGTTTCTCAGATGCTGCTTTCTCACCATTATTTTTCATGTCCTCGAGTGCAAGCTGCACAAAATGAGTCGCATATTTCTTGACGACAGCGCAAGCTGTTCCAAATCTAGCAGGCTTCCATACCAATTCCAGATCAGCAAGACGTAGCCTGATCGCACTGATATAGCTTGTCAAAGGCCCTCTCAAACGTATCCGTCTCTTCTCCCGGCAAAGTTCTTGAACGCCTTGGCACATGTGATAAGTATGTCCCACATAAAAAATAGCCGATAATGCATCTTGATGTCCTCAATGGAATAACGGCATTCACTGATGTAACTCCACTGCCCGGCCCCTTTTCTTAGGCTTTTTGAAGGCTCTTTCGATCCCTTGAGATAGGGACGTATCTGGCGTAACGTCTCGCGAAGGATCACGGCTTGATTGACTGTCAGCTTCATCTAGCAGAGACGCAGCATCATGACTTGATTGGCGAGTGGGATAGTGGCTTTCCAACCCCTGTGAAAGTTCAGATTCCCCCTGGTCGGATTGCTGCGAGACCTCGAAATCTAAATCAGGCGGCAACTCATCAATAACCGAACAGATTCTTTTAAGGTGAGTCGGCATCCATGTGTCGTAGACGTTTTTAGTGAACTTGTATGCCGTCCATTTCTCCTTGCCCTCTAGCGCTGTGAAATCGAATTTATGGATCGAGTGGCGGTAGAAAGTGGTCTGCTTTCCATCAATCAGAGGGTAATGGCCGTAGATTCTCACCGAACTGTGATCATGCGAGATTGAGAAGGCGAGGATTTCCCGGTGGAGCTCCTTTTCGCGCTTCACTAGCCTAAACAGTTCGACTATACCCCTCACTGCCATCGTCATGCTGTGAGCATTTTGCCGATCTGCAACGTCGAGAGCGGCGCCGCCACATTTGACCTCGCATGTCAGGAACGGAAAGTACATGTAGTATGTGGCCATAAAGTAAGAGTTGTCTGTAAGCTCGCCAACAAAAGGTTGAAGTCTTTTGATTTGATCTTCTGTGAATGCCTTTCGCCCAAATCCAACAGCATAGTCGGGTTGTGGACGAGTCTGGGTGACAGGTATAGAATTATTCCAGCCTTCATTGACACTTTCAACTAAACTCCTGAGGTCTTTCGATCCGAACGTTGCGAGAGTTTCCGCAGAAGGGACAATCAGTCGAGCGATATCTTGAACGACTCTAGCCTCGTTTCGATTTTGTATACTTTCGCAAGCTTCCTCAAATAGGTCGTCACGGAACAAGGACTCTTGAGGCACCGTCTGCTCTTTCTCAAGTAGGGTTCGACAGAGACTTTTGCTTGCATCTGTGCTGCCCAGTTCTGATTTGCCCATAAAGCTGCCTCTACTGGCAAGAATAGTTTGATAACGCCCATCTTGATAGGGAGCGCTTTTGACTTCTCGCGGCTTTTGATCGCTAGGTGTAGCAGAGCTAGTCGTGACAGAGCCAGCTTCTGATTGCCTCCTGCGAAGAGAGGATGATGATTTCTTCCTGGCAAGTAGATGGTTCATCTCTGGCACCCAATACTTCTCGTACCAGCTGTCTTCTTCCAGATCTGCCCTTGTCTGATCGTCTTGTTGAAACTGTTCCTTTGGCCACCGTTGTTTTCTTGTCCAGAATTCAATGGGATTGATCTCCTTCACGTCAACTCCGCTCGCTGTAGTTTCGCCAGATATATCGTCAGTAGCACACTGTCGGGGTGACCTTCGCGTGCGCTTTGGGGACGGCTTGGCAGTAGCTAAAAAGGGGCTTTGAGCTTCGTGCGATCGTTTTCGCTTTCGATTATTAGCTTGTGAAGACTTGGCAGAGTTAGCTTTATTGCGTAGAAAGAGAGTGACATGATGGCTTGCCTCTATGCCAGGAGCATCGGTAGTTGGGGAGGGTGCTGGTTTCTTGGGTTCAATATTTCTGCCATTAGACACAGTTCGTTCTTGGCGACGTTGTATATCTTCCAGTCGGTCGCTCTTGCGAGTATATACTTGTGGTCGTTCTCTCTTGATACCTTGAGGGCGCTTCCCTACAAACGATCAGTTAAGGGACACAGAAACGGGCGAAGATGGCTTACCTTGGTCTTTTGGAGCCAACCGTTGCCGCCCAGCGTTTCGGACGTTTCGTTTTGCTTGACGCGGGGCCATGTTGACAGGAAGGAGGGACAAGAAGTAAACTTATAACTGCCACTTCGCTTAAACCAAATGGAACTGATCAGAACAGAACTTGTAGCATGACCAGGATGATGAGTGACAAATGCTTCGTTGTTGTCGCAAGAAACATACTCAGCGGCTACTTTAACTTAGTGCGAACAGTAACCCCTCGTCGTAACCACTCACATCGAAAGTCTTGCCGCGTGAAATCGAGTGGAGGTTGAGCTGGGCATGTCTGCATGATAAGAATGAGCTGTTGTTGGAGTGCCATGAGGCAACAACTTGGGGAAAGTTATTTGGGCGCCCATGCCAAATATTGATTGGCTAGAAGCAATGCTTAGCCGAGTTTCATCCTTGAGACACTGACGCAATCACCCCATGACTCCGAGGCTCGATCTTCAAGACTAATTTTAGAACCCACCCACTAAAATGGGTAGCCCATATCCTCTCCACTCTCCTGTTGGTGTCAGAAATCCTAGATTAGTAAGCTGGAGCTCTGTTGTGGCTACCCGTATCAAGCATTTGGTTACCGAAGTTCCAACACCCTCAGCGGCTGATCAACCTCAGAACTGCTTCACCGACGACCCTGAACCGATACACCTCAACCTCAAAGTCGGAATAGCGAGCGAAATTTCGGCTGCTTTTACCCAGAATACCTTCTCCCACTATCGCGAAGATCGTCGGTGTTGGACCGTCGAAATCAAACCGCGCTTCCCACGATCTAACGATTCTTACTACTACACAGGAAACTCGGCTTTTCTCTCTCCGTCAATTAAACTGAGCCACCTCAACTATCATCATGTCTTCATCATCATTGTCGCCTCCGGCTTCGCTCTCATCTTCCCCGCTATCTTCTCCACCACCTTCACCGAACGTTTCCAATTTTATATCAAATCCGCCGCTTGAGGAGGCATGCTTTGCGGCAAGCCCCGAGCGGAAATACTACAAGAAAGGCAAATAGTTTGCGAAGAGATGCCTTCGCCCATCAGAATATTGGACTGCCCCTCATGGCCTATATCGCACCTGCGACGGTGGCGTAAGGTAAGTATTAGGTGGGGTAACAGGCGCGCGGGCATACATAACAAGAGAATGGCGGCCAATATTCCAACTTGCAAATTTAGATAAGGCCATGAATCAAGTAGTGCGTGAGGATGCTGGTCTTTGTTGACATGGCGCAGAGTGAGAGGCTTCGGACCTTGGCCAGCAGGTCACAGACAATTTACTAATCGGAGTCAAGGATGTCCCCGTTGCAGGGAGGTAATTTAATCATAACTTAGACCAATAGAGTAGCCTATTTCTCTTGTACAATAGGAGTTTGAGGTTATAATTCGCGTTATTTCCCAATATCTGGCATATGAATCCAGCCAATATGCTCTAGATCGCATCGGCATCTATTTTATAATCAAAGGTGCAACAGTTCTCCACATATGAAATGTACGGCTCAAATCTGAAACGGGTAGTTGCTTTGTCCCCAGACGAGGAAATGGCGTGCCTATACAGCTTAACGAGGCAATCGCTGAATGATGCTCGAGTCCAGTGAGCTGACATGTTGTCTTGTATGTTTCCTGGCTTTGCAAACTTGTTGCGAATAAAACGGTTCGCGGCCGTGATAGTATCCCGCATCTTTAATACGCAATACACAATCGGAATGACTTTAAACGCCTCAAGCTCATTGGGAGGGCTGCATTCCACATAGCCTTGAAGCAAAAAGATGCAGGAATTGGCACTAGAAATATTAGTACGGACTAAACAATAGAGGGTGTTACAAACAAGTCAAAGCCATCTTGTATGCACCAGTTCTGCAATAAGGCCCTCCCAAAAAATTCTTCTTTTATACATGCTTTGCAAAATGACGACGCTTCGTTGATATAATTCTCATCCCACTCAAAAGCCGAGTTTGTGCATGAAATGAGTCGTATGTAAGTCTCGTGGACTTGAAATGAATACCCGGCTTCTAAAACCTGAGCCTTGATCTGAGGTTTATATTTATCCTTGAAATGTAAGCAGTTATTATGAGTAATGAGCAGCGGACTAACCACAATATAATTGAAATTCAACAAGTAATTGGCTATATCTATAGCCTCTCCCGTTATAGTTGAATAATTATGCGTCAATGCAGCTGCTTGAGTGCTTTGCTCCTTTTTGTCAAAGGCAAAACAGTGTAGATCAAACCAGTTCGGAAAATATTGTTGTGCAGAACGAAGTATGTTGCACTCATAAGGCGAGCAGAGTAGAAATGCGTTCCGTAATATCTCCTTGAACTTCACAACATCTGGCCCTACAAACGTCAAGGGCGAGATGAGGAGATCGGGCTTCAATATTGGAGCGAAAATAGCAGCCAAGGCACGGTATCCATCTGCATGTAATCCGGCCATAATAAAAGCGTTTAAAAGGTAGACTGCTATGAGATAGAGGAAATAGCATAGGAGCGAAGGAATCTATCAAGGAGCATGGATATATATACCACAAACTGACATGAGAAATTGTAGAGACCGTCCCTTTCATTGATCATTCTAGCAAGAGCTACGAATAGTTTCATTCCCTTTCAAGCACAGTTCCTTGTCTCACCTTCACGCATCCTCCTTTTCACGAACAACCTTGCCAGCCGATCATATTAAACTACTGGCTTTGTGCATCGCCAGAACTATGTAGCTAAAGCTTGGACGTTTCTGTATTACAAGTGCATGGGTGGTCGCTGTATATACGTTTGCCTTCCCGCTGCAAGATCATTCCAGATGAAGAAACAACTCTGGTCATATATATAATGGGACTTTGTTGGACTTGTAGCTGGTGCTCGAAAACATTCTCATCTCATGAGGAGATCAAAAATCACTTGGACTATTATATACACAACGAAGGGCGTATTCAAGATGATGGCCACAAAATACATATAGGTTCAATTAAGAAGTTACGAGATGCTCAAGAAATGCAGATGAAACACCGTTCTCAAGCGCACTTGGTATATTTCCTCTCCCTATTGAGCTATGGAAACTGACAATTTCAACCAGAATCATCAGAGACCAAACCACTTGCTCCGCATCCTCGGAGTCGAAAAATGAGGAGGCCATGGAATGCGGCTTGGGACTCGAGAGACTGGCAATAAACATCCTGCGCAACTCTTAGATTAGTAAATGGCGCACTGGGAAGATAGTTGAACAACTTGAGCAGAAACGATGCTGGATTTTCTCCATAGAAGATTGATCATGCCAGTGACCCCGCCGCCCCTGCATCTGCTAACCTTCCCTGGAAGCAGACATAACGTAGGGTTCTTGCCACGTCAAGTCCATGCTTGAGTATTTCATCCTCAGTAGGTATGTATGGATCATAGTGTGGATTGATACAAGAAGTAGGAAACGTCTCCCTGAGTTTGTCCAGTACAGATGTGAGATTGGACGTTTGTGAAACCATCTCCCAAGACTCATCCGGTAGTTCTTGCGCATAGGGCACATGTAGAAGTTGAATGACATTTTGGAGAGTATCGGGGAGAACCACTTTGACTATCTCACTGTGTTCTAGGTTTGATAGTAGTATAAACGTATATCGCGTTTCATCAAATCCCAGTTCAAGGAGTGCAGTGCCATCCGTTGAGTATTGCGACATTATTTCGTCGTCAAGTGGCTCCTCCAATAAATTCTGAGAGAATTGCTCTGGGAGCTGAGACCCATTTTGTCGGTATATACTGGATACACCCTGCTTCCCATGTTAGTTGATAAAAGAGATAGATTGAGAAACTAGCATACCATTTCTTCGTCGTCTCCCCGACTTGACATTGGCCTCGTTGGTATTTCAGCGCTTCTCTCAATGTCTGGCAAAGGCGCTCTTTCCAGCCAGATTGTGTTACTGGCCCAACGCCATGGTGTACTGAGAAAAGAAACTAGTAAAGTGAATGCGTTCCAGGTCACCAGAGGCGACCAGTCTGGAAGACTTTCATCCACAGAATGGTAGTCAGTCCATCTGCGATATGCCACAAACTGGAAAAGCTCCTGTAATATTTTTCCTGTTTCAATGCCCTGTCGGCTTTCCGTTGCCATTTGAAGGCGTAGTTCATGGACGTGAGGGTGTAAAAAAGGAAGCCCTGGGTTCTTCAGATGTGCAGCCCGGCAAAGTTGATAATTTTTATCTGGCTCAATGAATCCCCGGAAGGCCGATAGGTTTTCGGGAAAGCACCCGGCTTTTTGAAGACCCTGAAGCATAGCTGTGAACGAGAAGTAGTTTCGAAGATGCTGCAACTCCTGTTGAAAATCAAGTCAGTAAAAAATCAGATGACATAGGTAATATCCAACTGTACCTGGGCAACTCCACTAATTGGCTCAGATAAGCCAGCAATGGCACAAGCTGTAACATCCTCAGCGAGGCGTATCCACCGTGAGTCCATTTCATATACTCTTCTCGAGTATGACAGGAAGTCTTTGGGGCACAATTGGATAAAGCAACCCCAATCCCTGTTTGTCATCAATATAGCCAGTTTTCTTGAATGTGCGGCCCGAGCTTCCTCTCGTCGGTTGGAGATGTAAATCAATGCTGAACGGAAGTCCATGGTGAGAGGAGCGAATCAGAAGAATCAATGGCCGTTTGGAGACTGCTGCAGATGAACGAAGCACAAAGTAACAAGAGAGTGCACACTCGGTGAGAGCAAAGAAAAGCGGTCAAGTGTGACCGGTGTAGAGTGAATGTGTGTGATTGAAAGGAATGAGATGAGAACTTCAGGAGGTGGCAGCCTCGTTCCTCAGCAGCTTCTTATATGGAGAGCGGATGTCTTCAAGAATGACTGGAACGGCATGCAAAGTCGTCCTGTCTTCATACCTGGGTTGGGACCTCACATTCAGTTCCCTCGTCGCAATATATCTGATCACCCTATGCGGATGGGATCTTCCTGATCTGTGCCTTACCTGAAGTTAAATGGAGGACTCCAATACCCTTCCAATACCTGGGCGGAGACAAGCATACAAGCCTGAGATGGGGAACAATAGCTAACACAACTACAAAATGAGCTGCGAAGTTCTCTATCCTTTGTATACAAAGGCTGAGACATGACGACTACAGGTGATGAATGTGTTGAGTGTTTCCTTTTGCGGCCAAGGGTGGCTTCCGACGTTCGCATTCCGGATCTAGTCGCCTGACTGCAGTAACCAAATACGGGTTTCTTGGCATCCCATGGGATGCCAAGAAACCTGTATTTGGTAAGATCTGCTACATCAACAGTTGCTCCAAATTCTCACGCGATTGCACGATTTCCACTTCATTACGACAACGTAAATATGTGTTTGTGCTCAGCACTTCAACAACAACAACCACTTGAAGAGGTATGCAGAGAAGACTTCGATGGAATTACACAGTGGGTCGAATCTCTGGGTGAATTTTTAGGGCAGCTGGATAGGCTCTTGTCAACAAACGAACGTTTAGCCTCCCAGCTCCCATTTACATTGAACAAGAGAAAGCTCAATCCGAAACCTCCGGAGGGTGAGCAACGGATAGCTAAAATTTTCGAATTCGACCCCACTGAATATCACACGCGAACGCTTCTGAAGCTCAATATAAAAAAATGGGCTGCGCAGCCAAGTTCATTTACGCAACTACAAAAACAGCTGGTTTATAGTAGAAAAAATCCAGCATATGAGATTATCTTTGAAAGCTTACAGCTTCAACAATCGGATGCGCATTCCTGTATCCTGCGCAGATTCCAGTCTGTGGCACTTTATAGGCAACGAGAACGGCAGGCTCGAAATGACGATGCCAAAACAATTGCAAGCGCACTGTTCCCTCTTATCCATCCTCCTGAAGATGGCGACGACCCTCCGGAAGATGGCAACAACATGCAAGATCTCAGCAATACTATTGAAACCTTGATACAGGCCGGCCCGAGGTATGACAGCATTGGAAAGAGGCTGTGCCTTGGCAGCCTGTTTCTACTTGGAGATGCCATTCCAAACAATATGTGAGTATTATCTATAGATCGAGATCGCAATGCTCACGATCAGTTAGATGGGAGAAATGGCTTCCCTCAACGGGTTCTCGATTTGATAGAGCAATGGATTATCTGATTGAGAAAGAGATAGTCACCATAGGAAGTAAATATAATGAACTGGGAGAGAAAATTCTTGCGTATTATGACAGTCGTAAGTACTACGTCATGCACTCGATAATATTTGCTAACGTCTCAGGCCTACCAGTGATGCCTGAAATCGTATGGATGAATGACAATGTCCAGGGAAAACACACGAAGCCTAGGCGCCAGCGCCACAGCCAAAAGAAAGCCACAGCGCCCGCCCCAAATCCTCAATACATTCAAGTTGACCGAAATACTACCAACTCCACAAAGACGTCTCAAAAGCGGGGATCTAGTAATCCTCAGCTCGGGAGGAAACGATTGAAAGCAACTACAGCGTGTAGTGCAACTAACGACGAGCGTGCTGAAGTGAATGAGCAGGGACACAATGGTACTTTGATGCAGGCTCTGTTGACAGTAGTAGAGCATGAGGTGGACCAAATCCCGGCTGAAAGCTCGTCGACACTGGGGCCAACTTCTTTGACTACATGGGAGTCGCACATGCCATTCGATGGATCAGCGCCCAGATCCGAGGTTGGAAACCTCGCAAGTTTTCAATCCAATGGAGTCTCTCGTGAAACACAGATGTCCGGATCGGATTCAAGGGCCGGTAATAGCTGTGTTGGTTATGTCACCTCATATGATAGCGCTGTCAATAGATTGCTTCAGAGTTCAAATCCATTAAGCCAGTGGAGCCTGCTTTCACAGAGCCAGAAGGCCAGTAAAACCTGGGTAGAGCCCTCTGGACAAAAGGAATCAAGTCAAGTATATCGCCAGCCAGGTTAGTCAAACTACGGGGTGTATGATAATATAGCTAATAACTACCTACAGAAAACAATAATCTTAATGGTTGGAACCAGGGCCATGTGTTATCCCCTCCGGATCAGATCGATGACTTGATCAATAACATGGATAACCAGGATAACACTCTCAATGGTTGGAACCAGGGCCATGTGCTGTCCCCTCCGGATCAGATCGATGACTTGATCAACAACATGGATAATCAGGGTAACACTCTCAATGGTTGGAACCAGGGCTATGTGTTGTCCCCTCCGGATCAGATCGATGACTTGATCAGCAACATGGATAATCAGGATAACACTCTCACTGGTTGGAACCAGGGCCATGTGTTATCCCTTCCCCCGGATCAGATCGACGACTTAATCAACAGCGGCCACAATATTCCTCCTCCGGGCCAGATCGACGACTGGATCAACGGCATGAACAATCCGCAGGATAGCACTCGTAATGCCACCATAAATCAATGGTCCCAACCCATCACATGCTAGACCTCATCACTAGTTGCTTCGAAATGCGAGGCAATAAACTCCAGATTTAACAAGCACATCCTCAGTGAGTTGCACATAAGTCCCAACTTTTAGTTCTTGGTCTGATATGGTGGGATTTCCAGTGGTGATAGTAGGTATGAAGAGTGCCAGCCCTGACACTGGTAGTATTGCAGACTTATTGAATCGGAAGGCTTGGAAGATGATATTTTTACCACCCATCTAGATAGAGGCACAGATTAGCTCTGAGCTTATGGTTCTTTTTGATGGAATGTACCTTTAACCACGGATTAAATGTTTTATAAAATGCTTCCGATGCATTTCCCAGTCTTGGATCGTCGCAGAAGTCGTAGCCATTGTTCGATGGTATAAATTTCAAATTAGCAAGCTGCCTCTCGCACTCTGCAGCAGCATCTTGTTCCTCCTTGGTTAAGTCTGTGACTTTGAGGTGTTCAAGAGCAGCAACCATGATATTCGGTAGTTGTAAGTCGTGTTGCGGAAGGTCGATTCTGGCGGGGTCGGAATTTCTGACGATATCAGACACAGCCTACGGCTCGGCTAGATTACGTGAACCAAGCGATGATTTAGCGAATATCCAGACAGCAATTTCCCAAGAATATGTTAACTATAGCCATTTATATTTATCTGAATCACTTGGCCTTTGGTGCTTGGGCAGAAATTCTGTAGAAGAGTAGCCTTGATCTTTCTCCTTTTGTCGACACTCAGCCTATTCCCTTACAGAATTATGGAGATATAGTTCACGCGACTTTGGAAGCGGTGGGGCTCAATGCCATGTGACTTGCTCCGTCAGTGGTTTTAGGCTCCAATACTTAGGCTCCAATACTTTCAGGTGCAAATTCAAATATTGCACACAGGACCTGGGTGTCACCTTCCGCTCTCAGATTTGTGCCTGTAACAACTCAAAGCTTCAAGGTACTCGATAGGATTCCTGTCCAAGCGGCTACTGGAAGTCACCGTTGCTCTTGTCTATTACCAAGCCCAAAGCACACGTTGTCCACAACCTTTGGCTGACGTCATTTCGCCTATCATGCTTCGTAGTAATGTTTCTTGCGTTTCAAGTTTATCTGGGATATCCTCTATTACATCTCCACGCAAAGGCCGTGGGTAGAACCTTTTTATTCTCACCAGGTAAGGGCAGATCCATAAATCCGTCAAACGTTGACTAAACAAATCCTCAGCTTCTCGCCTCCTCTGGACTCGACATCGAAATAGTCAGCCATGCGACACCCACTCAACATATCCCCGAGGAACGTGGCGCCGGTTGGATCTGAGTTTCTTTCAGATCTTACGTTCAATTGCTTCTACATCCTGTAGAAGCTCCATTGCAGAGCCGTACTTCAGTTCCCAGCACTTGGAAGTAATGGCACTGCAGATTTGAGAGTCCTGCGGGAACTGGGCATTTTCAAAACGGCTTCGGACTCTGTCATCCCATCCCTCCTCTCCATCGACAATATCAGGAAAGACGCAGTGGCCCATCATGATGAAATATATAGTACAACCGAGTGCGAAAAGATCCGTCTTGATGTCAGCTTGGAACGGGTCGTTTCGAGGGCAGAAAAATCTGCACGGTTCGGCACTTCCACCTTCCAAAATGATATTGCCAGTTTCGGATATATAATTTCCTTGGAAGTCCGAGAGCTTCAAGTGAAGATTTTCATCGAGGAGAAAATTTGTAGGTTGAATGTCGCAGTGAATGACCCGCTTCGAGTGGACATGGGCAACCGCTTCAGCGGCCTCTCGACACCAGGCTAATCGCTGTTGAAGAGAGGCAGGTGGATGATTCGATTCAACTATGTAATCATGCAATGTTCCGTTCGCAGCGCGCTCTAGGTATAGCCCATCTGCTGTAAGGTACTTGAGTCCGATAATCCGAGGGTGTTTGGCAACTTTGCGAAGAATTTCATATTCCAGTTTGAGGCGGCTCATGTCCCCACCGAGAGTGAGGGGATACTTGAGAACTGTGGATTCATCCACTTCACCAATCCAGGCACTGGTACCTGACGCAATTACTCGTCGTACGCCCGGTGGGCAGTACTGGTAATATATATGGACTTCCGATTCATCGTTAGACATAGTGAGGCAAGTATAGTGAGGCAAGTAAAAATGATGAAATTATTGGATTGATCTTGTGAGATTCCTTTATTGATCTATGGTGGGTGGTGGGCCAATTTATGGGGTGCGAAATGTGACGGATGTCTGAGGAAAAAAACAAGTCACATTATCTGCATGCGACGTTCGTGGACAACTCTTTACCGAGTGTAATAATACGACAGTACAAGCTACTCAAACGTCTCAGAAAAGGAAAGAGCTGCCTCGGCATAGACAGGGGCACATAATGAGCGGTAACGAACAATGCGCAAATCAAAGGTTTTATTAAAGAGCGGATAGGGAAGCTCCCTGACAAGTAGAATATAAATTCGGTCCCCATTGCCACAATGTCTCTGTCACATGACTTTGAAATTCTGCCTTCTGCCCCAACAAATGGTTACACTCAGAACTTGCTGCTCTTGCTAAAGAGTTCTCTCATTTCGAGGCACTACTCAGCATTAGAAAGGTCGTTTTCTATGGTTTTGCGTTTCATACTCAACACTTAGGGCAGATATGTCCTGGTACCTTGACCATAGAGGAAGCCAGGTAGGTGTCGACAAACCCCGTATGCTCCTTTTCCGAGCACGTAAAAAATGATGTCACCTCTTTCACATGCTTTATAGGCGCGGTGCAATTTTTGTATGTAGTACGTACAATACTCGCTGGCAGCCACAAGGCATGGCGACGCTTCAATAGAGTAGTGGTTCTAAAGGACGAATTTTATAGATGGCGGCTAAAATCCTGGCTTCGTAAACAACAGGAGCTGGTTGTGCAAGGCGGGAACGTGTTGACAATATCAAAAGTCTTCTGAGTTTATGGGTGGTCAATGCCTACGTATATATATCTCTATGAGCCCCGAGGCAGAGTGAGTATCGATAATTGCCAACTGTTGAATTCTTTCCAACACAAGCCATATCCAACGCATCCACTGAATTGACACTGTACTGAAATAACAGGGCAACACTGACATCGCAAGTCTCTGACTCACGCATTGGAGTGCACTGATTCTCTGGGAAACTGCAGGATATACCTATCGATTCGGAATTCCATTACTGGCAGCCTCGACCTGTCCACCACGCCAATATTTGCGTTTGCTTTTGCTTTTGTTGGCATTGTTTGGGGCCTGTGACCCGGTTGGAGAGGCTGACAACCACAGTAACCAAGTAACCAAATACGGGTTGCTTGGCATCCCATGGGATGCCAAGCAACCCGTATTTGGTAAAGATCTATTGTCGTTCTCATTGGATCCTTCATGCGGAGTCCAAACGCAAGCAAACACAATTACGCGTAACATGAGCAATGAATGGGTTAACCACCTTCTGTCTGTTTGACATGGTAGGCATTTATACACAATTAGAGCTAGTTAATTTGTAGGGATCGACTTTTAGGACCAATTACAATGTATTGAATCGTGAATATTCGCGAACTTTCGTAAACCGTGCCTTAATAATGTTGAAGTGGTTCATGAATATTCGTGAACTTTTAGGACTGCGTACAATGTATTAATTCATGATGGTTCAATGCTGTTATCCAATTGAGGACAGCACGTTAGTACCTCCCTTGTTGCCTCTAGAATTCTGCAGCATGTATATAAGAAACGCCATATCCACAAAGTCGGCCCTCTCGCAAACCCCATCTCTAACCTAGAGACAGCATGGTGAGTACAGAGAAACCACTCGCGAAAGCCCATGTTCTAATTAGTGATCTAATAGGAACCCACGCCAGACCAAACGCTAGTTTCCCAAGCAATTTCCGATATATTTCTTCCATTTTTCGATCCCGATGTCCTGCTTAAGGGGTATTCGCAAGAAAGTGCTCAATTATTGACGAGAAAAATAAGCCCTATATTCTGGCAGGTGACGCAGAGTCTGTCAGTTCCTGAATGCGTTATTCTTATTTCTGCGAGGCAAGCGTTCACCGATTCAAATATAGCGAACTGGGGCCTGCACCTGTTTGCTATGAGCAAGGATCGAAATCAACAAGTAGAACAAAAAATGGCATATAGGTATAGTGTACAGGCTAGAGAGTATCTAGACGTTGCTGCATACGACTCACGGTTTGACAAGCTCAAGGTAAATCTATTGATCCTGATTGGAGTTTATATACTAACCTATCTTAAAGCAAAAACTTGAAGAGCAAATCGAACGTCTAGCCAGCGATAAAAATTGTACATTTAAGGTCTTTAAGGCCTTCAGAGGTCTTATATTTGAAGTGACGACTGACGATGATCTCACAAGTTATCTCACTAATGAAACATGGTCGCTCTGCTTTGCATGTATAGAAGAGGATGATTTTACCCGTCCTTTGTTGCAGGCATGGTTTATTAGCGAGGGCGCCCAACAGTAAGTATATCCAATCTATATTTATCTTTGAAATATCTAATATATTAGTATTGAGGCATGCATAGGAATCTTGAAACACGCGGTAACTCATCTCGATATTGTCATGGCATTTAGGATGATACCAATTATATACTGTGGGTTCAAAATCCAGGATGCAGCAACACTCGGACCCTATACTATTTGGGGACACCCAGGTGACTGTCGGCAACCGCAGAAGAACCGCCGAGCATTTTTTAAGTGTATCAAAGATCTTTGTCAGAATGGTAATTCGCAAGAACTGAGCATCTACAGTTTATATGCAGAGAATTACTGTTAATCGAATGGTGCAAGAAGGTGGAGTGGAATCGAGTCGAGTTGAGGGGGGGTCTACGCTTGTTACGGCGCAGCTCCGTCTCCAGCGTTTCGATTCGGGGGAGGAGGGAGATGGGAAGGGGGTGGACGATTGTTATTTTGTTATATAACGTGCATCCCTGCATCACGGGACGCACCCCGTGACGGGACAAACTATTAGTACTATGAATTCAATTGATTATAAATTTGTGAGACCATTGAAAATTCCTGTATTTTTGTGTCAGTCGTGTTGTGTGACCACTCCTGAACAGACCAAACCCTGGCTACTCTGAAATTTACGATCATGTCGTCGCTGTCGCGCCTAATTGCGGAGGGCGTCAATTCGAAGTATAATAGAACCCCTCGAGCTACAGCATCACCACGAACTCTTATCACTCCTAATCCCCATAAGAGAGTCTTATATAAGCTTTGAGGCCCCACTACGATGCGGGAGATCGTCATCAGCCTTGTGGCGGCTGTACGGCGCAAATTCATGCATGGTCGCCACGCAGATTAATACCTCCCACGCTTCTATGATGTAATTCGCTTACGTCACCCATGGCAAGGCTGTGGTTGATCAGGGACTGTGGCTGATCTGGACTGTGGCTCATTAGGGCTGTGGCTGAATGTTTGGGTGAATACAAATACTTGTAACAGGCTGTACTCAGCCACTGTACTCAAGTCTGGTCATGTGTGTGGCGTAAACTGCCATGCGTGTGGCGTTAGAGCAGGTGTCTCGAACTTTCCATACGGCAGGCGCGCGGCAGCACGGTGGTGCCTGGGCACTGGAGCGCCGTCACTCGTCCCCTTCACAACACCATCACCACGGTAGGCTAGTATGGACAGAGCCAGTCAAGCACTCGCACAAGGCGTTCCTCCCGGCGTGCCCGATTCATACCGTGCCCTTGCAGATCATGGTATTGCCGTGCGAGAGATAGAGAATCAAATAGACTGATCCTCAGCTGGGATTAGTTTGAGGCAGGCTCGCGCTGGCTTCGCGACCTGTTGCTTTGCTGTACAGGAGTTGGTGTTTATAGCCCTTTTGGCGCAATAATAATAATGTCCGTATGGAGGTACAGACAAGCAAATACAGATAGCGAGCGGCCTTTGGTATCCTTCTACCGTGCTTGATATGCCCAGCGAAGGCCATTGCCGCCATCGTTGTGCCAGCTGTTGTGCTCGATATTGTCATGCCCGCCAGCACCTCGTTATACATTTGTGGATTGTTGTGCACAGCGCCGTGCTCGCAGTCGTTGCCATGCTGTCATCGTCTGAGCCACTATTAAGGTCTTCACCAGGTTATCGCAGTCTCACTGTGCTGCTCTGATATATCTTCGCACTTCAGCCGGTTATTCCATTCGCGCGCTTCTCGCGGCGTAACTGGAAACTTGAGGACGGTCATCTTGTTGAAGGCGGCAATGTAGGGATTCACGCGGCTGTGGTGGCGACGGCGGCGATAAAAGAGCGGAATTCCGTATGGACACCAGAGCTGACAATTGTAGAGGTTTATCGTTCTGTACAAGCTTGTCGCGACAGAGGAGTATCTCTCAACCAAAGGAGAAAGCGGCCGATTTTGGCAGATATCGGCCACTTTTTGGTCCTGCTTGAGAGGGCACAGTTCAACTCAGCTACTATTGCCGCTTTGACAGCCAACGTCAGCCACACTGAGGCTGTGAGCATCGTCGTACCTTGACGCTAGGCACAGATTTGTCAGCAAATTAACTATTCAAGAAGAAGCTGACATTCCCACTTCGAACAGCTGATGCACACATTAACAGGTTCCCTGATTATATCATCTTTGTTTCAAAACTAGCTTGCAGGTTGATGCTATAGCTAGTGATTTGATTTCAATGCCAGCTTCTAGAAAGTCTTGCAAAGTAGATAGAAGTATATAACAAGAGGCTAAACTTTGGAGGTGGGTGGGAAAAGTTAAGTAGATAATGATTAAAGTGTAAATAGCGCTACAAAGCCATAAAAATCCTCTACTACCAACGCACCTCGCCTAAGTAGAAGCTGTTCCACCACCTCATACCTATTTTCTGCCGCTCGGGACAGCGGCGTCCGGCCATACCTATCCTTTGCATCCACCTCGGCACCCTTGTCCAGCAGCAGCTTGACGACGGCCTCGTGCCCCTTCCCTGCCGCCTGGGACAGCGGCGTCTGGCCAGATCCATCCTTTGCATCTACCTTAGCGCCCTTGTCCAGCAGCAGCTTAGCAGCGGCCTCGTGCCCCTTCTGTGCTGCCCAAAACAGCGGCGTCTGGCCAGATCCATCCTTTGCATCCACCTCAGCGCCCTTGTCTAGCAGCAGCTTGGCGACAGTCTCATGCCCCTTCTCTGCTGCCCCAGACAGCGGCGTCCGGCTATACCCATCCTTTGCATCCACCTTAGCGCCCTTGTCCAGCAGCAGCTTGGCGACGGCCTCGTGCCCGCTCTCTGCCGCCCGGTACAGCGGCGTCCGGCCATACCTATCCTTTGCATCCACCTCAGCGCCCTTGTCTAGCAGCAGCTTGGCGACAGTCTCATGCCCCTTCTCTGCCGCCCAGAACAGCGGCATCTGGCCAGATCCATCCTTTGCATCCACCTTAGCGCCCTTGTCCAGCAGCAGCTTGGCGGCGGCCTCGTGCCCCTTCTGTGCCGCCCAAAACAGCGGCGTCCGGCCATGCCTATCCGTTGGATCCACCTCAGCGCCCTTGTCCAGCAACAGCTTGACGACGGCCTCGTGCCCGCTCTGTGCCGCCTGGTACAGCGGCGTCCGGCCATGCCTATCCGTTGCATCCACCTCGGCGCCCTTGTCCAGCAGCAGCTGGGCGACAGCCTCGTGCCCATTCCTCGCCGCCCAGGATAGCGGCGTACGGCCGGATCCGTCCATTAGATGAGCTGATTGGCCTGTCTGAAGGCAACAGTTAACAGCACCCTTAAGACCGAAGTATGCGGCAAGGTGTAGCCCTGTCATTTGCCTGGGATATCTTTGACTGTACCCTGAGCGTGTGGAGTATAACTTCAGGACAAGAAGTGTTTGGCTCGATGCTTCTACTTGAGCCTTTTTCTCAAGAAAGATAATGACTTCTTGGATTAGTGTAGAAGCGTTACGAGCATGACGTCCCCAATTATGTGACGCATAGTCGTAAAGTGGATTCGACTGCAGCCGTTCTTCGAACTCCTCGTCGTTTTGGCAGATGCCAGTCTCGAAGACGTTAAATGAGAGGTATGTAACGCAGATTGTCGCTATATCAGTTTCTGCTTGTGGGAACCAACGTTTCTGTGTACGTTCGAAGTATTCTTGTGTCGTATAGTGAACTAACCGGATGATAGCGCTTTCTTCATCGACTGTAACTAGTCCAGCACACACTGAAACCATGTCCTCTATTGGAGACAAATTCTCCTCGTCAAACTGTAACTCCCCAAGCTCTACAGCAAGTGCGTGCTCAAGTTCAGACGTCGTCAGCGGCCTCTTTGCACAGGTGATCCATGAGAGGACCTGCTTTGCAAGCTCTTTTTCGCCTGCGAGCTGGCCTTCAATTCTCTCCATAGCGTCGTTGTATGCGTCATCGTATGCATCATTTCCAGTTGAGAGCTCCTTCAAAGCAGTACGGATAGCCTTTGGTGACTTTTTGCCCTTTAGTGAATCAAAGTGGAGCTGTGCAAGCAAGAACCTATGACTAGTAAGCATTATTCACTAACAGCTGGAAGTCACATACATCCCATTAACTGCTTTTACAATTACGGCCTTTATTTCACGCTGCAGCTCAGAATTGCGAAGAACACACGTAGACAGCTCCGACATATGGCCATCTAAGTATCTCTGCACATCATAATCGCTTGCCTGGATCTCCAATCGCATGTTGTTTTTAAATTGTACTTCGATTTCTGGAATAAATCTCGAAGTGGAAAAGATATTTGCTCTGGACTTCGACTGCAACGCGAAAATCTCGGTCAAAAGTTTCGTCCTGCAGCCACCAGATGTTTGACACTCATCAAGTGCGTCAACGACGATGAAACATCTCGAATATTGAGCAGCGACAGACTAGAGAGCACTTGATATTTCATTGAATGTCGGCCGCGTCCGCTTCTCCTTATGGCTGTCATAAAGAGATTTCACACTCTGTGGTAGAGGATATAGGCCTTGAGCTAGCTGCTTCAGCAAACTTGCGACAAGTCCATCGGCCTTCTGCTTGTCTTGTCGACGGAAGTTGCAGTATAGATATGCGATGCCAATATTCGTGTCTTTCGGAAATTTAGCGTGTAGACAGTCGACAACAATTGAGGTGAGAATCGTCTTTCCCGCTCCAGGAATTCCTGGACAGAACAATACCTGCTGGTCGGTCTTTACCCATGCCTGGAACTCTGCCGATTCCAAAAGCCACTGACCAGTACCTACCGCCCGTCGACTAATGAAGTCGCTCTGTTGGGCGGCATAGTCAACTGGGGCGAGCCAGTCGAGCACTGTTTGACGTCCTTGATCTTCCTGATGTCGCACTAACTTGACCACATTATCTCGAGTAAGTCGTCCGTTGAACGCGTCTAAGAAACCAATGTTTGTACTAATACGACTCCGAAGCTCGTCGATGTCTTCCAGCTTCCAGTTGAGCCTCTTCCACACTCTTTTGATTCTCTTGCCAACACTCGCATATTCAGAACCAAGTTCGCTATATTTGTCTAGTATTCGTTGGAGCTCGTCGAGAACATTTTGGCAACCCTTGTCAATGACTTCCAAGTCTCTCTTCTGGTCAGTGTTAAGCTCTTGTTTTGGAAAGGCAACGTCGGCATCTTGAAGGACGATCGATAGACCTCGGATCCTATTTGAATATAATAGTCAGCAGAGATCAAATTCTTATTGAAATAACGCACTCATCTGAGACAGCCTTGAATTGACTCGGCGCATCCACGAATTCCTTCCGGATCTTGTTCGCAAGCTCGATTGCGGTTATGAAGTCGCCGACGCTAAATCCAAAGCTCATGATGAAGTTGGCTTGCCCATTATCCTACATGAAGTGAAGAAAAAATGGCAGAGAGTGGGAGTGAAAGACAGGTTTGTTGCACTGGACGACAAAGCATGTTGTCTGCGCTCAGCCTCAAAAGGCTGACTTTGGCGCCTAAAGGGCAGACTTCTGGCATGGTTGCCGTGTGGAGCTTCTGATGCGGTCGCTCGAATCCATGATTGATCGGGAGAACGGGACTTTTCGGTAAGGCTTAGCTCCGCCACACGCAACCACAGCTCACCTGCCACAAGCTTTATTATGTAAGATATCCACCTGTATTACTAAGTGACCAGGAATCTTGATCGCTTAATTTGGAGGTACAAACCCATATGGCGACTTCGCATGACACAGCACTCCCTGGTCATCACAAGGCTGAAAATGATTTTTCTGCATCGTGGTGAGGCTCGGAAACACAGATCAATGTGTTATATGAGTTTGAAAGGTGCAAAGAGCTCGTGGTAGTACTGTAGGTCGATGGGTTCTATTATGCTTCGAATTGACGTCCTCCGCAATCAGGCCCGACGGCGACGACGTGATCGTAAATTTCAGAGTAGCCAGGGTTTGGACTGTTCAGAAGTAATCACATAACACGACCGAGAGAAAAATATTAGAATTTTCAGTGGACTCACAAAATTATAATCAATTGAATTCAAAGTACTACTAGTTTGTCCCGTCACGGGGTGCGTCCCGTGATGCAGGGATTCACGTTAGTAGTTTTAGCCGTTGGTTTATAGACCACTTTACTTAGCAAAATTAAACAGTCTTCACTTCCACTCCACATCTATGCCCTTCAGTTGCCTTTACACATCGGATATGCTAACAACGGAGCTAGTGAAGTCCCGCTAGTGCGTATGAGATGTTGCAGACACTGATAGCGCTCGTTATGTCTTCCGTCTCGAGATCATCGGGTGTTGAATTTTGGCGGTAGTAAAGGCACATACATGTTGTACACCCAGAGATCCAAGCCCCGATGAGCCTTGTTCAGAAGGTTTAACTGAAGTCTGCGGATTTGTAGATAGCGATACTCGATATTATGTATCTACACTTTCCTCCTTACTACCCGCTTGTTCCTGATTTTTTAGCTCCCGTTTCCGTTGAGATTTCTCAGCAACATCACTTGGCAATATATTATTAGGGACTGGATATGAAAGCATCTAACTTGTAATTAACCATAATCCTATTAACATCTTGGGCGGACTCACAATTTCTTCCATCGAAGGTGGAAAACAGGGCTTGCTGACAGATCTATAGGTTGTATATCGCCCATTCTGGTAGATGATTAAAGCCACATCTGCGCCATATAGCTTCCCATACTCATATGTCTTGTTGATCAATGAGCTTTTCCTTCTAGATGCATTCTGGGTTTGTCGCTTCTGTATTTTACCCATTATTTGATGTAGTATTTCGACAGCTGACGCTTTGATGGTGTGTCTTATAATTCCAAGTATTGTAGGGATAGATTTTAACATAGTTGGACTGTTGCTGGCACTTAGTGGCTGCAGCAGTTTGCTTTTGGAAGGCCATATCAGCATCAGAATAGTCTGGTATGCAGGGAAGCAATTTTCGGCGGCCGTGGCATACAGCAGGGATCCCAGTAAGCATAAAATTGCACATGACATTACTGTACCGTTGCTTGCAAAAACAGCTTATCCAGTAGTTATGCCTATCCACCATCACTGAACTGCGAACAGACGGAGAGCGCAGACTTCCGGCCGCTTCTAAAGCCATAAACGAACGCAAGAGCTGTCCAGCTCAAGTATTCAACCTTGGAGCCGAGTATTGATTTCGACGAGCCGTTTGCTACATTTAAAACATTACACTAGGGGGACCGTTTTGGACGCGCCGGGAGCCACTTATTAGACTTGAGATCATCACTTAAAATATCATTCCAAGTTTCTGTCGACTATAGCTGCATCGAGGAGTCATTTCTAGCGCTCCAACTGCAACTACCAGCTCAGTCGGCCGAAGCAGCTCCAACAGCACATTGTATCACCTTGGTGGACAGCGCCATTCACCCGCAGTGATAAATATCCAAAAGCAGCACTCAAACAACATGATGCATGTGCAGTGGTGAAGCGACATTAACTATCATTTTGGTGCTGCTGCAATAGTACCTACTCTATAACGGAATACATAGACAAATCACTACCTCTTACCGGCTCACCACACATATTGGTATACAAAGGCCGATCACCTCGGTCATCACACAGGAAAGATCAGCAACGCGCCTACCTCTAGGCCATCAACAAGGCCGACATAGATGATGCCAATGCGGTTACCGGCGACAGACGGTGCGACACATCCTCTTGGAATGTAGAGAACGAGCGACACCGGATGTGGGTAGGTAGGCCTCATGCGTCGACACGAACGCTTTCTGCAGCTCATCAAGCAGCCAAGGTTATCCTAGAGCAATTCCGGGCAGTCCATCTAAATATACGTAGTGTAGACGAGTAAAATCTGTATATAGAAGTAAGGGCAGGCTAGGAAAGGTCTGACAAGTTCAGAGTCATTAGATCTATAGATAACTATGAACGAAAATGGAGAAACAGTTTAGAACGGCTTACATAGCTGCAATCGAATAAATCAACCAGGCAGTGAGGCTAGGAGCTCCCAATGGTCCTTCAGGATATAATAATATGTCCTTCATTGCGCTTCCGGCCACTCCCCAGAGCCCACTATTTCTGGAGACCTGGGATGATCGCCAGATCCAGCCAATCTCCCGAGTCTCCCGCCTCTGGAGACCTGGAATCGCCAGATCCAACCAATCTTCCGAGTCTCCCGCCTCTGGAGACCGCGGGGCGTGGGAGCAACTCGGCTCCCTGGAGAACTGGGATCGCCAGATCAGGCCAATCTCCCGAGTCTCCCGGCTCTGGGGCCCTGAAATCGCCAGATCCAGCCAATCTCCCGAGTCTCCCTGCTCTGGAGACCGCGGGGCGTGGGAGGCGCTCGACTCCCTCGAGCGGCGGTCTCTAGAGGTGTGGGGGGCTTTCGAGCGTAATGGGCCTAAGACCCGCGGGCGTGAGCCACACACATACATAGGCTGCTCCCGAGTGTTCCACTAAATTTCCGATTGCGTCGTTCCCACTACAAATCCCGTCTCATCCATGTTATACACGTTCTCGAGTTCTGGTTCTTTTCGTCAAACTGCCAAACCGCTGCGATATCTTCTCATATGTAGCCTCTTGATGCCGCCGCAACGACTCTAATTGTCGAGAATTCGTTCCTTTAATTGTAGGATATTGATTTGGGCCAACACAGGTGTTGCTGGGAGGGCAGTACTGGTAACTCGTGTAATTCATCGTGCTAATGTCCTCTCTTCTACGTTAGAGAGTAATCGGACGTCCCCGAGGCTTGCGCCTTTGTTTTACGTCCAGCCATTCGATCGCGTAGTGTTTGAGCCGGAACGTAAAAGTGTATCGCTGTAGCCCGGATACATGAATGCTCACTATTTTCCAGTTAGTTATTGCCTTTTGTATGTCTTCTCCAGAATTCGCTTTACCAGTTACACGTAAGAAGCCAAAAGTCGCATTGCTACATCAATAGAGGGTTGAAAACAGACCCTTGAAGGGTGCGAGAACGCTACCAGCAAGAATTTGAGGGGCAAAAGCGCTCCAGTTTTGGCATGACAAAAACTGCCTTGCTGCTTGGTTGCTCTTATTTACCATTTCATGGTCATAGAGTCACAACTGGCTGGAGCGGTATTCTATCCTTTCTTCGCTTTGTTCGAGGGATCAATTTTGGAGGTGGGTTGATTTTCCTTGTCGTCAATTTTGACGCTGCGCTAGCTTATTACACGGTTGATGCGGGTTGATGCGTGTTGATGCAGCCACAAACTCCACAGGGGTCAAAACTGGATGATCACCGATTATGTACATCCTGACTTGAGCAATGAGCCAAAATGTGATTGCTGTAGTAGGTACAGGAAACATGGCACCTGAGATACTACAGTACAAGATGATCGTACATACACTCTTCTTGAATCGGCTCACGTCGTCGCTATTGCAGATCGCTAACAAAGTCCCACCTTGCAACTTCAATATTGCATCATTACCAGTAGGCTGCGCACTACTCGCCCAATACTCGGCTCACTCACTCAGTGGGTTACTCAGCTGGGTGAGTAGCTGAACCTTTCACTCGACTCGGTGAGTGAGGCCAATACTCAGTTACTCTGTAAAAACCCAGTGAGTACTCGGCTGTCACGTGTAAGATATATGCATTACGTGAACAGTCCCTCATACGATTAATACTGTTTTATGGTTACAGTTGTAAGTTAACTTAAAGTATTACATTTATCAGCATCACTCTACCATCTCTAATAAGCTGTGAGAACGAATCACGTATATTCCTCTATCTAAGTACCACGATTATCAGAAGATTATCAGAACACTATATTATATATGCTCAAGAACATCTTTCCACCTTGCTTGATGAGGCCGGCCAGACCTACTAATACCTAAAGTATTTATAGGGTCTTGACGAGTAGCTTGAAAGATATCAAGTAGATCTCCTCCAGTCTTCCGAGGGCGTTGGATAGGCGTTGGTGGCGAGGACGGCATATCCTTATCTTCATCGTCATGAATAGTTGGAAGTATAGGCTCCTCATTATTACCATCTTCTCTTATATCTTCATTATCTGGGATATCGTCATCTGGGATGTCGTATAAGGTCTCGTTAAGACGGTCAGCCCTATCTCTTTCTTCACTTGTTGGTAGCGCATTTGTCGTTCTTCATGTGCAGCTTGTGATAAGTCTTGCTGTTGCTGTGGCCGCTGAGGATTAAACGGAGGATATTGTACCTTTGAATATGTCTCTCGGATATGTGTATTTGATCGTGGTTCTTCTTCATCGCTGATATATTGTAACTCGTTTGAGGTTGAGGCATATCATCGGCTAGGTCTAGGGTAGTCTTTAAGTCCTCGTCGAACTTTAGACCAGAGAGCTGCAACTCGATGTCGCTGACTGACTTCTCTAGGTCCCACTCGTCCCGGAGCTTCTTTAGGAGTGCAATTCTCTGCCTTTGCCTCTCCCTAGCGATATCACTAGTGAGAGCTTTGTAATGGGGTTGCGTTGTGACTGTACCAACAGAGCAGTGTTTTGATTTCTCTCGCCGTGCGACGAGTCGGAGGACACGAGGGGACTGATTGACAGACTGAGATTGCTCAGTCGTCAACTCCTGCGGCCGGCAGGGATCGATCCACCGTAGTAGCCGGCACGCTGCCTCCATGAGGTGGGTCTGAGGCTCGTAACTGCACACTATAGCCCTAGTATCAGCCCCTACCCGCTGCGAGAGATAGTGATCAATGAAGGTGCGCATGTCAGCGTGCTGTAGCATCATGTTCTGGAGCGCATCACTCACGTCCCCTATTCGTCAATCGTTAGCAAAGCTTTATAGGGAAAGGGGAGGTTGCGCTGCACAGGGTACGGACCGCTCTTGTTGAATTTGTTGCCCGCGTTGTACCGGAGACCATATGGGCGGATAATCTGTGGGAAGCACGATAGTACTCCAAGGCCCTCCATCCACCGTAAGAGAGTAGAATACGGGAGCGGCTCGGTAGGCGAGATCTCCCACCCGTAGGGTGTCCGGACGGACTTGCGGAAGATGGGGATGTTGGCCTTTTCTGGCTTTAGAAACAACTGCAGCTGATTGCAGCCTGGCCGGATGTCTAACTTGCTGATAGCCTCGCCAGACGTGAGATTTGGGGCTTGGAACGCTTCATCGTCTATAATCATTCCTAGTAGGGAAACGTGTGGGCTGAGAAGCAAGGACGGGTCGAATATTATCTCAGGGAGAACAAAAGTATTACTAGCTTGTCAGCTTAAACTGTAGAATCCTAGGAGGGAGGGAGGTAGAGTGCAGAGCTTACGCTTCCTTTACGCCAAGAAACTGCTTCGTGAATTCACATGTGAACTCAATTAGAATCCGGTGGGGCCCGCCCTTTGGGTTCCGGAGCAGGCTCACAATAATGTGGCAGTAGCAGAGGTCGAGGATAGCTTGCGGCCGGTTTCCAGAGAAGCCAGCAAGCAGGAGAAATAGCATGATGGCAATGCGCTGCCGGCCATGTGTGTACCTCTTCTTTGTAGTAGTTAGGTTAGTATGAAGAATCATTGACAGAGACTCTACGTCTATAGCTGCCTTTTCGCGCTTCTCTCTTGTAAGCTTGTGCTTCTTTGCTAACTTTCGTAGTTTCTAGACGTTACTTTGTAAACCTTCCTCATGTGGACTTATACGGCAGAGTAGGGTGGAGGTATGACTTACGCGATTTACCATGCGTTTAAAAACTATGTCACCCTCCCCAATCCTTATACCAGTCGCCTTCTCGCAGGCCATCCGAAAGTTCTTGTAGTACGATATAAGGCTACTCTCTGTCTTAATGCCTTTTAGCCTTCTCCCACCCTTTCCACGACGTTGGTTTAGCACCCAGTCGAAGAAGGCCCCAATCATGCGGGGAGTGACGTCTCGCATCGACTGAATAGGGTCCTTTTCGACATATTTACAATACCTATGAGTTAATTGGGTTAGCGATACAAACATAGAGGGACGATAGGTGAAGGTATAAGACTAACCGGTAAAACCGTTGCTCGATTCCGCCAATAAGACAAAGAGTACTGTCTCTATAATCCTCAATCTCATCATCAGAGTCAGAATCATCTTCTTGATGAAGGTAGTACTCTGGCGGGTGGTCTTCAACATCTGTATCAACATCTGTAGTATCAGAGTCGCCGCCCCTAGCATTATCCTCTACATCGCTATCAATATCTGTCGGAATAGTATCGGAGTCGCTATCCACAACGTTATCCTCAACATCGAAGCAGCTCTCGGAGTCTGACACATTGCAGCTAGAGAGGCTTCGTGAGAGCTGGCGACGCCGCATACCATATTAACTCAACGGCAACGACGGCCTTGGTGTTGAAGAGAAAGTAAGAGAAGTTGGAAGGAACCTGCTCCAAAGGAACTGTATTGTGGAAGAGGAAAGAGACAGGAGCGAGCGAGGAGGGTATTAAGTATGGTGGGAAGGAAAGGTAGGGTAGACATAAGGAAAGGCATCGTTAACTTAGTCACAAGGGGCTGGAGGGCACCCATATTTTTGAGGGCCAAAACGGCTGCAAGTCAAAGATGAGAAGCTTCCTGCTTCAAGCTCGATCTGGTTTTGGTGTTCCTATTAGTCAGCTAGGTCCGGGTCTTGCCGTTTTGCTATCAGGTACGTACCCGAGCGTTAGAGCAGCGTGAGATTTTGGCAACTCGGCTGCACAAAGCAGCGCCAAAACCAGCCGAAAACAGCAGCCAGCTTGCCGCAAGGTAACGTAGGTCGTGGCCATACCGGGGCCATGGCCATACCGGGATGGTGGGGTAAGCCACACCTTCAAAATATGAGCAGCTTCAAAATAATTGAAAATAGTTCTACCATTACCATGCTAATTCATCTATATCACTGTCAAATAGCTCCTCCTCACTCCCATCATCAATTAGATCAATTATAGATGTTGTAACTTGTGGAGTTGTTGATATTTTCGACTTTTGTGATGTAGCTGTTGTTGCTGCTTCTGCTTCTGCTACTTGCGACTGCAACTCCTCAGTTGTGATGTGGAATTGACCCTTCAAAACTGCTCTCTTGCCCTTATTTTGTACTCTGCGCTTCTGAATAATTGAGCGCAAGTTATCTGTCTCCCTTTGTTGTAGTATGTGGCATGTATTGAGCCGCTCTGTCTCATCTGCTAACTTATGAATATATCGCTTTGTAGGAGTGTTGAGAATGCCACGACTTATTGTAGAAGAGAGTACTGTATTTGCTTTGTGAAGTGTTGAAAAATCAGGTGGACTGCTGTTCAGAAATACTTTCTCAAAAATGTCATGCTCTGTTGGAGTCTTTGGCCGCACTATTACTGCATCTGTTGTAGGAAGCGTAGCTGCGCGGATAACTGTCTGCGGTTGAAATGGCTGTAGCCCACTTCCTCTTCAAGCAGAAGCTATATTTGAATTTGAAAATGCAGCTGCTCTTGCTTGTATGTATGCATCCATCCATTCTGCTTTCTGTATGCGTAGGAGCGCCTCATTAAGGTGTGAG